TGGACCACTTCTAGATCACATAGTTTTTAATGTTTCCAAGTATAAATGAGATGTAACAATGTATATAAGTAGTTTTGTGATTTTGTTGCACCTTTCTGAATCTTAATGAGTAAGAGGCAATTTCTACATAGTATTAGAGATAGTTTTCTATATTTGAGTACTCTTAAAAATTAAGGTATCTTAAGTTTAGAAATTATAGAAGGAAAATAGTAAAAACCTAAATGTTAAATTTTAAACAGTGTAATATAAGTTTTTAAATAGTAGTGAAACAAAAAAATACTAGATAATAAGGAACAAAAGAGGTTTGGATATAAAGATAAATTTTGAACCAAATGTGTGTGATTAAAAAAAGGTGATTATTAAAAAAAACTTCAAATAGTAAAACTCAAATCTATTACAGCTTATTATTTATATTTAGAAACAACTATAAGTCTTTTCAGTGCAAACATTCTTTAGTCAAATGACAGATTAAGTAAAAGTGTATTAAATTTCTCATAACTCAATACGAAATAATTAAGTATAAAACTCCAATATGTATGTATGTATTTAATATATTGATTCCATTGTTTGAAACTTCTTTTTCTAAAAGGAAGAGCCTTTAAATCATTTCTAATTCAGGAAAAACAAAAACAAAAAAAATCCTAGCCCCTTCCCATATCCCCTACCACAGTCATTTATACAAGCAAACAATCAGGTGATATATTCACAAATATTAGTAATATGATATTCTAAAATTAATGTTGTGACTTTTATTAAGACAACCACTTTAAAATTCATTTAATACTGTTACCTGTTACTTCTTAAAATTAAATTCTCAATCTCACTTTCAATACTTATTTGAAATACAGTAGTATTTTATTACTGATTTCCTCTGGCCTTATGAGATTTGGGGCAACAAAATTTTAAAAAGTCGTAAGTTTTAGTTCTACTTATAGGCCAAAATTAGTTGCAAAGCACAAGCCTAAGTTTGCTCAATTTAAAAAAAAAAAAAAAAAAAGACAAAACTATATCTATATTTTGATAATTCTTTCTAAGATGTATGTTCTAGTTATAATTAGACCAATAACCTGTTTCTCCTAAAAGGGGTTAAAAAGAAATCAATGTGGGAATTAAATGTCATTAAACAAAAGAAAAAAAAAAAAAGCAAGAGCCATTTTGGGTCAGTACTATTTTAAAATTAGAGACAAATTTACAATGTAATTGGTGAAAGCTTATGTGTCATATATCAGAAATACCTAATATCTCTGGGAAATTTTTTTCTTTTTGTAAACCAAAATCAACTGACCAATATTTTTGGATTGAAGTATTTTGTGACATTATGAATAGTTACTGAATACTAATAAATAAATAAATAAATAAGACTTCATAAAACAAAACATAATACACAAAACATGACAGAAACAAGGGATCCAAAATATTACAACTACTTTGCAATTTTCATCCTTACATGTCAATCCTGATAAACATTAAAACTGATATTAATCTGATTAGAAAACATGTAGTGTTACATACAAATACCTGAGGCTACATTTTGTAAACACACAATGAAGACAAATTAACAGCATTAAAAAAAAAAAAAGTCTAAAGTTAGACTTTTACTTGAATTTTTAAAAAACAGTATATAAATGGCAAATAAATGAAACAGGAAGGCTGGTACCTTTTCTTGTTCCCTTCTCCCCACAGTATGTAAATCTAGTATTGAAAAATAGATGAGCTATTGTAGCAGTACCATTTTCTATCATTTTTTCCTATGGTAACAAATGATTTTTGTATTTCTTACAATAGCGCACGCACACACACAGAACTATCTTTTTATAGAGAAAAGGGATAACTGCATATAAACATTAAAAATACATACCAGTTGGAACTCATACGTACATGTTCACAAATCTAAAACTAAAATCTTCCTCTTATCTAACATCACAAGAAGGGAAAATACTTCAAAGGCTGTGAATTTTAGTTAGGCACTAGTGTGTTCTAAAGCTTTAAGTATTTTAAAGAAAAGAATCCATCACTTATTTTAAAATCAAACAAAACAATCTTTCACTCATCATCCTCAAAATAAACAAAATCCCATAAACCAAATCACTAAAAAAATTAAGTGGCTAAACTTAATCAGACTGATGGAATTTAAAACCTCCCCCCACCCCAAAACACTCTACCAGTCACAATATTTGAATGAAAATTAAAATAAAAAAGCAGTAAAAAGTAAAACCTACCAGTCCTGGGTGATATAATTATATTTAAAACAGAAATGACATCTACAATTTCATTAAATCCAATTTTATAGAGGATGATTAATTCTTTTTATGAAATTTTCATGAAATGATCCAAAATAAACAGCTTTGAAAAAAGGTAATGAATATGGATGCATTCAGTTATCACAATTATTAATAGCATGATCAGTAAACTCAGCTACACCACTTATTAATGTAAATTATATTTAAAGTCCTACAGAGATTTGTCATGTTTTCATTTTAATATTTTCTAACAATACATATTTTGAAAATGCAAACTCTAAATTTCAACTACTATTCATAAAATTATATAAATGTCTGTTAAATTTTTTTTAATTCTCTTTAAAAACATCTACAATTGTTTATCAGCAAGTGTATTGCTTTTCTTTGAAAAACCACACAGACTCTTATCAAGATGCAATTAAATGGAATGACAAGTTTGGTAATAAATAGAAATATGTTGATGGCTGCCTCCAGCAACATTAAACAAAATCAACTGAAAACCAACCAAATAAAAACAACCACACTGCTGCATATATTTCTTTGTAATGAATTTATCAATGGAATGCAATAACATACGCACCTGTACATACTTACCTGTTGTATTATCTAACTTAAGAAACATTAATGTCTTATAAATTAAAAATTTAAGTCTTCTACAATGGCTGGATTAGCTAAACATATATATATATATTAAAACAGAAGTTAAAAGTTTTAAAAATATAGCCAATTCTTATGGGAAATGTGGAAAAGATCATGTAGCATTTTTAAAAAATTAGTTTTTTCATCAAAATAAAAGAAACGATTCTCCCGTCATCTGCATCCAACAATTACAAGTAGTTTAACATGAAACTTTTTTTATCAAAAGAAAAAAAAAACCCCAACACCACAAAAACCTAAATCCTTCACTCAGTTTTTAACCAATAAAAAACAGGGGCAAATATATGTCTTGCAATTTCTGTCAGCAGAAATTCAGTTTTGCGAAAATAGCCTCTTCAGTTTTACTTTTCATATACATTTCAGAGCCATCAGAAAGCCTTTATGGGAAAAGAAAATATTAAACACCAATTTTTATTTAAATTCCCCGTTTTAACGTTTTGTAAGTATTTCCATGGTTCTCCAACTAAAAGTATAATTTTTCAGTAGGTCGAGAATTATAATCCAGAGTTCAATATTCAAACCCCCCAGTCTCGCTTCCTTCCAGCCAATCAGGGGATAAGAAGTCGGGTGTTTGGGGAGCTCCGTTTAACAGTTTGAAAAACATCACATTGCTCTATCCTATTCTCCAAATGGAAAGGTTCTAAGTGAGGGCGGGTCCCTAGTCTTCATTGAAATATACGAAATCAATCGTTCTATTAATTACAAAGGGGAAAACTTTAGGCTGGCAGTCCTAAAGTGACCCTGCGGTTCCCAGGAAGTTTTATTCCTCTTTGCAAATAACTGAATAGCTGCTACAAAAATCATCTCCAGAATATTTGCAACCCAGTGCGGCGCGCCCCACAAGCAAAACATCACACAAGCAAAGGGTTAATCTAAGTGTGCCTCATTGTGGAAAAGGAATTCAAGATCTAATAGAATTTTTACAGAAGTTATTATCTCTAAAGTATTAATAAAGTTAAAGCCGTCAATGGCTTGCTTTATTTAAGAGTTGTCGACTAGAGGTTGATAAAAACAAATACATAAGGTGGGGGGGGGGGGAACAGTGAAGGGAAAGACCAACAACCCCTCTCTCCTCCGCCTCAGTTCCCAAGAAAAGGTGGGGATTGCAAAATTACCGTTAAGTTGCCCTGGTAAAGAGTTTTCCGGAGAATACCAGCATGGTTTCACAGATTGCTTTTCCCCCCTTCGGATGTTTCAAGGACTGGAGAAGGAAAAAGTCTTCTAATAAGAGTGCGACTTAGAGAAGGAAATAGTCAGGAGAAGGAAATTGCTAGCTCGCAGCCCCATCTTTCATCTCACCCCGAACACCCCTCCCCCTCGAGGAAGGACAACGTCGCGAGAGTAAATAACAAAAATCCGAGCCATAAGCGAAAGTCCCAGCATCTTTGCTAGGAGCCCGCTACCACCTCCGAAGCCTGCCCCGAACGCCCGGAGCCCCGCTCGCGAGCTCGGGGCGCGGCAGTCCGACCCCTCTCTAAAAAGACCGCACCAGGACGCCGCGCGGGGGGAGCGCGGCCCGGGCTGACTCCTTCCTAGGGCACCTCACGTTTAAGCGTCAAAAGACAACAACTTGCATGGCTGGGTGCCGAGGACTAGGTGGGGGCACTATGGGCCACCACCCACCGGACGCACCCGTACTCTGGGTCTTGAATTTTCCGTCGACTCAAGTTTCTCGTTAGAAGACGGCTTTCAGCGGACAGGGAAAACTACGAGAAAAAGGCGGCTTGGTTCGGAAACGGGGGAGGGGCGCGCATCCCCTCCTGTCAAGGAGTCGCGGCCCTGCCGAGACCCCGCGGCGCCCTGTCCCCGGCCCCGGGCGGGGGGTCTTGCTGACAGGTCCGCTGGGCGGCGGCTGCTCGGCCGCAGCCGTCCCGGTCCCGCTCAAACTACAGCTCCCCTCCCCCCAGCTCCGTCTTACCGCGCTCCCGCCACATTCCGCCGCCACCGCCCACTCGCAGGCGCCCAAGTCACCCAAAATCCTATCTCCTGGAATTTTTCGCGTTTAAAGTGAAGGTTAACCCAGCGCCCACTCCCTGGACTCCTCAACGCCTGCCGGTCCCACCACTGCCACCTTCCGAGTCCCGTTCTACTTCAAGCTCTTACCCACTGCGTCAACCCTGGCGAAGCTTCGCGGATTGTCTTTTGCTCCAAGTTATTTTTGGTGATTTTTTTTTTTTTTAGTGGTTTTTCAGCGGAGCGCTAGTGGCACTATACTCTCAGACAGGTTATCCCGTCTCTCCCGCTAGATTGATGAGATCAGGCATCACTCGAAAATGGCGCCGAAAGCGCTGAGGCTCTTCATTCAAATTCGTTAGAGCCAACCCCGCCGCCCCGGGGCATGCCGGGAACGCGGGCTGCCTCCACAGCTGTCAATACCACCTCTAACCCCCCCTGTTGTCCCGACATTTGCGCATGCGTAAACTCCTACCCTCATCCCCTCCCATACACACACCTTGTACATGCGCAGACGCACGGTTGTTCGCAGCTCACACTTAGCTTCCTCGGCTGCCGTTCTCTTGCTGCTTTTCTTGCGCGTGCGTGCAGCGCCTTTGTACGGCCGTGGACTTGAGTAACCTTACAGACTGGGCCCGAGAGTCCACAGATGCTTGTCAGGAGACAGGCAGTCAGTCTACCGTTGGAGGTAAACAAATTAGGGTCCAGCTTAGGCTAAAAGAAAAACGTCTTGCTAAACTACGGACAACGGAATGTGCCTCTTGAGATCATGTGTTGGATACACGTGTACTTAAAACAGCCCCGTCGCTGTGTAGAGCTCTTGAAGTACGCCAGAGCTTTATCAGAGCTATTGCACTTAAGCCTCGGGACAGCCTTACGAGGTAGGAACTGATATTATTCTCGGCTAAGACCAGGAAACCAATGATTGGGAACGTTAAATAATCTGCCCGAGGTAGCACAGGTACCAAACACGTGGCTGAGTCCGCGTCTGTCAGATTCTGGAACTCGGGCCACTTAGCACTGTAGGATCCAATCTGAGTACGCAGGAGGCGTGGTTTTCCGTCCCTTGTGGTGTGTGTGTGTGTGTGCGCGCGCACGCCCCAGCCTGGAGTTAATGATTACTTAAGTTTGCTAGAGCCCTTCATCCGTCCTAGGGTGCTTGTTACTAAGCCATTTTCATCGAATCCAGTTTTTCTTACCGCCTTACTTGTCCTTAGACTTTCAGTTCTGTTTTGGAGATAGGAATGAGCAGTCTTTGGATGTCATTTAGGATGATGTTTTTATAATGGCGTGGTAAATTATTGAATCCAGCAGAGACGGTTCCCGTTGTGCAACGCAACGCAGAAAAAAAAAAAAAAAGTAGTAACAGTCACCACGTATTGACTGTACTCCTTACTGTGCTGAAAAAACGCTTTCTGGATTAAGCTCCTTTATTGCTTACAACAGCCCTATGAAGTAGATATTATCTTCATTTTGCAGATTATGACATACGCTTATATTAAGAAATCTGCCCCAAAGTCTTACAACTAAGTAGAAGTAAAGACTCATGCAAACCTGTGTCCATCTTCAAAAACTGGACGCTATGATAGGACAATAAATGATACTAAAATTGTCAATATTTTAATACCTTCCTTAAAAAAATCTCATCTAATCATTTTCTTGGGAGATTTATCATACTTGACATTAAGCTGGTTAAGATGAAACAAAACCAACTAACTGTTCTTAAGATTGTATTTTAAGATTATTGTTGATTGCTTACTTTTTCCTTAATCACAAAGTGGATTGATTTTTTTTTTTTTTTTTGAGACAAGGACTACCATATCGTCCAGGTTGGCCTCAAATTTAGGATCTTCTTGCTTAGCCTCACAAGTAGCTGGGATTACAGTACTGGGCCATGGTACTCAGCTCCCAAAATGGATTTTCTAAGGAATCCAGCAGTCTAAAATCTGGGATATTAACTATTTTGTCCCAGTTTTTGTTGTAAGACAATTCGAGATGAACTATAACCGAGTACAAAAACACATATCCCATTATTGTCAGGGTTGAATAAGATAATGAGTATGACTATCTGAAGTACAAAGACGTAAGGAAATGGGAGAAGGCTAGCATGGTTTGTATTATTGAGGTATAATTGGAAAAAGAAATGGCTTTTAGCATTTTCAAATTATCAACAATTAACATGGCAGAGTATATTTGTCTTATATCTCTCTGACACTTTTATGAACTATTTAAGTGGATCAAATCTGAAGCCAAACTTCCTGAGTTTGAATCTCCATTTTGCACCTTTTGTAGAGGTGGCTTTCATATTTAAGTCTCATTTTATTTAAAATATTATTTAATAAACCAGAAATCTTCCACTAAAGCTTCTTGATTTGCTAAAATAGGAGGAAACAAAAGCAACAGTTCCTGTGCTTGAACAAAAAGTCCAACTGGAAAAAAAAAAAAAAAGATCTTTCCAAAGCTAAGAATTTTATGTTTGACCACAAGGGGGTGCAAATTCCTGAGTTAAATCTCAACAGGGGGGGAAAAAAGGGAGGGGGGGAGCCTTTTACTTCAGACTATTAAACTCATGGGTAAAAAATTAGTAAGGATTATCTGCCCAGAATTTTAAAACTCCAAAAAATTATATACTTTATGAGAAGAAAGAACTCTGTAAGCTTAAGTTTTCAGCATTCTTTCTTCAATACAGTAAGAGTTAATCAATCATCTCTTCTCTACCCCTTTCTGCCCTCTCAGTTTGTGTCTCTGCATATGCTTCTTGTCATAAGAACTGAAGTCATAGTTTAAAATCCGGGGCTTTAATTCTGCAAACTGGATTGCAATCACCAGCAAATGAATGGTAAATATGGGTAGTGTGGAGAATAGAAGTCTTCAATTTCTGTACTCCCCACTCCCTACTATTTTCTAATACGTAGAATACAACTGATGGAATGTTAGCTTCAACATATTAACTTATTTGGATAAAACTGTGAAAGCTGTAGGTCTGTTCATTTTTTAATATTTATTTTTTAGTTTTAGGTGGATACAATATCTTTATTTTATTTTTATGTGGTGCTGAGGATTGAACCCAATGCCTCATGCATGCTAGGCAAGCACTGTACCACTGAACCACAACCCCAGCCCAGTCTGTTCATTTTTTTTTAAAATGGATACCCTTAAAAGAAGAAAACAGTCATATATAAATAAAAAATAAAAGAAGAAAACATTCTGAAAAATAACTTGAAAACAATACATACTAGTGAGCATTTTGAAAACAATCTGTTTAGCAGAATTTTTAAAGTTCCTTTTACTTTCATGTTGGTCTTGTTTCTCTGAAGTGGACTCATTTTTTAAACTTTTTACATTGGTAATAATTTCAAATTTTCAAAAAATTTCCAAAAATAAAAATAATTTAAAAAATCTATATAATTTGCTTGCTTTTATACATGGGTGAGTTCTTTCTTTTCATATATATGTAATTTTATATCACATTTTTTCCTCAACCATTTTCCATTAGGCTATAAGATTCTGGCCCCTCACCCCTTCATAAATTTACACTGAAACAATACTTTATTATCCATATTCCAATTTGATAAGTTGATCCTTTATAGCATATCCCCCTCCTTTACTGGATCCAGTCTTATGTCAGGTTCTGCACCCAGTGGTCATATCTCTTTAGCCTCCTTTTCTTTATGAAACTTTCATCCTTTGATTCATTGTCTTTTATGACCTTGACATATTTGAAGAAAATTAACTTATTTAGAACATTTAACTTAATATTCAGCTTCTCCCTCTACTCTCTTTTTAGTTGAATGTTCCTCATTTTGTGTTTGATGTTTCCTCATGACTGGATTGAAATTATGCATTCTCATCTGGACTATTGCATAGGTAATATTGTCTCCTTCTCTGAGTATCACATTTGGAACCACATGATATCCATCTGACTTTCAGTGATGATCTTAATTTTGATCACTTCATCAGTATGGGATTTGAATTTTTCATTGTGTAGTTACTTTTTTTTTTTACTTACTGGCAGTAAATAAGCAATTTGTGGGAGAGATTTGTGATGTTATATCCTGATCCTCATCAAAATCTTCCATAATATTTAGCATCCATTATTGCTGATATAATTTTACCATGATGGTTACAAAATAACTGAGCAAATTTTAGTATTGCCTCCTCATTTGCAGCCCGCGACATTCTATTTGCAAGTAGAGTTCTTCTTTATTTATTTATTTACCTATTTATTATCTACATGAACTTATGAATTCCTATGTCTTCCCATTTCTGTGTTTGGTTATTCTTGTTTGTGCCATCTCTGTTTATATGTGCATATTTATGTACAAAATTTTTTTGAGCTGGCTGCGTGGCCCAAGCCTATAATCCTGGTGGCTCAGGAGACTGAGACAGGAGGATCACAAGTTCAAAGCCAGCCTCAGCTAAATATAAATGCATGCTAAATATAATGGAAGATTTTGATGAGTATAGGGATATAATATCAAAAAATGTTTTTGAGCCACTTGAGGGTAAGATACCTATATCATGGTCTTTCATTCTAATATAACTGTGTGTTTAGTTATTTTGATGTTCAAGTTTTCTTAAATTTAGCTAGTAGAAGTTCTTTCTCCTTTGACTTTTTGACATATCCACACCATTTTTTAGAGCACTTCCTTACTTTCTGGTATTAAAAAATATTCTACATTTATTTTGTACTTATCCTACCTCGGTCCTAGAATTAGCCTTTTTTCTAAGGAGTTCCGTTTCCTGTTAGTGGAAAATAATATTAGGGACCAGAACTAGGTGTGTTCATTGCTATACTGAGGTGTCTTTGCTTCTTGGACCTTTTGGGACACAGAGCTAAAAATATATACATGTACGTGTACATGCATACAAATATACATATACAAGTATATATAATTAGTTCATGACACAGATTAAATTAATTAATTTTACTTGTGGTACAGGGAATTGAAGGCAAGGGTATCTATCACTGAGCTACATCCTATCCCTTTTAAACAAAAATTCATTTTGAGACAGGGTATCACTAAGTTGCCAGGTTGGCCTTAAACTTGTGATCCTCCTGCCTCAGCCTCCCAAATCACTGGGATTACAGGTGTTTGTTAGTGTACCAGGCTAATTTTTAATTATTTTAATTGCAATTAAGAAGATATATCAATAATATATAAAGTTCTGAGTAAAGGAAATAACAATCCATACATTTTTCATGTTCCCTTTTAGTAAATGTCTAATCATTTAATTTTGTAGAATCATAGTATGACATAATTTTTTTAACCTTTTTTCATTTCACATAGCAAATATTTGAATTACATCATTTCCACAATCTTCATTTATATTGCTGTGCTACATATCATTCAGCAGATTCTACCATTCTTCTATTCCTGTTTTTTTTTCCATTTTTTGCTACCATAACTAATTCTGATGTGAACATTTGTGCATATCTTTTTTTTAATTTAGATTCTTATCAAATGATTGGAAGATTTCCCAGAAGTACAAATATTCTTTCTCAAAAGATTGGTATGTGTTTATGGGTTTTAATATATCTTGCCATGCAAAATTAATCAAACATTTACCAAAGTCCATACCAGAATTAGATATAGATATGAAAATATATAGTTTCTTTTAGCAAGGAGCTGAATGTCTAATGAAAGAAAGATTTTTCTAAAAAATTATACTTCAATAAATATAAAGGAAGACCATTTAGCCCAGGTTAGAAATAGGTAGCTCGAGAGGAAGTTTTTATAGAGGAGGTGACAGTTGTTCTGTGTCTTGAAGGACACCTCAGCAGAGCCTTAAAGGATTGAAATTAGTTATCCTAGTTATAGAAGAGAAATAAGTAGGCCAAAGAAAGCATTTTAAGCAGAATCACTGGAATGTTAGGAAAAAGGGCAGATAGAGAGAACCTGGCATGTTTAAGAAAATCAGGTAGTTTGCTGTGATGTATAGCCTATAATTGAGGAAGCTCAGCCTGCTCAAGTGGATAGAAGTCAAACCATGAAGAGCTTTCTGACCCACCTTTATATTGATGCAACTGGAAAATCTTAAACCAATCCATGATATGACTTGATTGTATTTTAGGAATTCATTTAATGA